CCAATTTGGTAGACAAACTTCCGCCTAAGACGTCCCTTTCCGACTCTTCCATTCACTTTGCAACATATATTCGCTTTGTCAGTTTTTACTCATTCATTCTTTCTACATGACCAAACCACCGAAGCATTCCTTTCTTAATCCTGGTCACCGCATCATCTTGCAAACCACACTCTTCTTTTTTTTTGTGTGTGTGTGTGTTCAAGTGATCATATACATTAATTTATTCATTGCAGCCCATTTTTTGTTCACTTGTGATTATTTGCTTTCACGACTTTTGAATATAGTCTTTCCCCGCTGATTGCCTCACAGGCGTATTTGTATTGGTTGCTACGCCCGAACGCTGATTGGGGAACGCAGTTTTATTTTATTATTACAGAGTCCTTTAAAAATGCTGCCTTCCATCTCCTGATTCAGCTTCCTTTCGTCGATTCTTTACTCCTTAAGAGTTGATATCTTCTTTGCTATAAAATTAAGTGACAAGCAAATTTGCAGTCCACCTGATCGTAAGCGGCTACCGACACCCAGAGGAACCTGTAATCAACTTCAAACAAAGAAGGCTACATGTGCGTTATCAGTTGTGATGACTATGGTGGAAGGTCTAACGGTCTGTAGTGTCTTAGCTTTCTACACCCTACAGACCAGAACACAGCAGTGCAAGCTCTGATGTTAGCGGTAAATTTAATAATATAAATAATAAAAAAACTAACTTTATTTTTTAAAAAACCTAAAGCTTGAGGCTTCTGTGGAGGTATCCATTGATACACAGGCTGCGATCGGTCCATGTAAAACCACTTTATTACTAATCCTGTTACGTTAGTTGTTACGTAATCGCAGTCCAGCGTCACTGCGTCTCTAGTTCCATATTGAATGACTTCAGGTACTCGGATGTTGACGATGCGAACGGATTGAACACCTGTAAACAAACAGCCAATTGAAAAAATCGGAATGGAACTCCTTTTTTTAATTTATGTTTTTCTCAAAATTAAATTTCAAAACTTAATAATATGTTGATAAAAAAATTGACAACCAGGACTGAATTGATAGTTATTTATTAATAAATTTTATATTTACATTTTTAAAAGTTCGTAGAGATTGCGAGTAAAACTCAACGCGTCACCTAACGGAAATGTCAGATTAACGTCTACTAGGCCAGCTAGTATTCTTATCAGAAATCTACCCCGTGCCACAAATGTTTAGTAGGTTCCTAGATCTGCTATAAGATTTTTATGACACTAGTATGTTGGAATAGAAGAGTTGTTGTAAGGTTTACGGAAGTACATCAACTGTCACTAGCAGATCTATTTATGTGATATGAAAGAATTAATGATCAGGATAGAACTTTGAGGGTATTTGTGCCACGTACGCAGTACGTCGGTGTTCGTATGTGTATTAAAATTCTAGTTCATTTTTGGATAGAGACCTAGCCCATAGCGTAATGTACGAAATTGTTCTATTGCTAACTTTTTGTCGTAAAGAAAGAAATAGGGTATGACAGTTGCGAAGAAGAAGCCTTTGGTATATTTATTTTATCACCATTTATTTTTGGATAGAGGCATGATATAGGTTAGATAAAATTTTAAGAGAAAGTTTATGAGATTAATTTTTATTTTTGTTATTTCTGTATTGTCTTGTTATATGATATAGGTAAGTAAATAAAGGGTATGTTCCCAAACGTTTTCAGTATACTGCCGAATACAAATGACGTCATCAATTGACACTATATTGTATTGGCGTGCCGCCGCCATATTGTGTCGGATATCCGGCCATAATAAATCAATTTCTAAATGTGTGTGCTCTGAATGAAGCATGTCAGAATTTGTTTTTATTTATTCAAATACAAAAAATTATAGAATAATTGCTGGTATGTCCATTAGGAGGATATAATGATTTTTGGAGCACAAAATGACAAAATAATCGCCAACTCTTTTCCAATATGGCGCAAATGTATAACGTCATATTATACTGTCCTATGTTATGGAACGAATCACCAGTATAGCGTCGACTCATGACGTCATTTGCATTGGACAGAACACTGGGTTCTATTTTGGAACTTACCCAAAATGTAATCTAAATAAATCTTATAATAATAAGTTGTCAAAAATTATTTTCGGAAAAAATTTCAATATTTCAATATAATTTTCTGTGCTGATCAATACGGTTTCCTCAAAGGAATAATACGCAAGGAATTTTCATTTTACAAGAAATAATCTGGCAAGAAATTGAAGGTGGATATACCCCGCAGGGCACATTAGGTGCTTTCTCGCTCGGAAACGTTATTATTATCGAATGAGCCAGTCGGCATATTGTATCGCGGTTATCTATCGGTTCTGAACTCTTTTGAATTCCCTTCAATTTTAGAATATCGCATCGAATGATTTTTTTCTTCGTATTTCAATTGGAATGCTGTAAAAGACATAAAGATTAAGACAAAGGAATGTAGAATTTTTATAAACATTTTTTTACACAAACTATATACGTATTGGCGACAATCACAAAATTTTATTATAATATGTACATATATATATATATATATATATATATATATATATATATATATATATATATATATATATATTAACTATAGGTTTCTGTTAAAATGAAAACAATAATTTTTAAAGATTATTCAGCACAATTAAGGAGCGTTAAACTAATGCGTTCCCATAAGTAATTGCCATTAAATTTCCTCTTAATTTTACGTACTATCGCCATTATAACGTATGCGGTAGACAAAAATATTTCAGAATGTAATGTCTTCTTCAATTTACGCGTACACAACTTTTACGCATTTTATCGAGTTTTATTTAGACTTTTTATTTCTCGACGTTTCGGGTGCTTTACAGCACCCATGGTTTACAACTATAAACATCGGGATTTCATAAACCTCAGCCCCCCTCTCTTTCCTCGCGATTGTATTAGCTGTAAAGTACATGAAACGTCGGGAGTTAACAACCTATGGAGCTTTTAATTGTTTTATAGAATAATATGACAAACGAGCACACAGTCCACCTGATGGTAAGTGGTTGCTGTGGTCCATAGACATCTACATCTATGATCAAAATGCAGATGCGTTGTCACCCGTAAGGACTAAGACGTAATGCCTTGTTTCCGGTTTTCTACACTCAATATAAAAAATTCACACTGGTTCATTCTGTGAGAGTGCGGTCCTTCCCCGGTTGAGCCCACCCATTCGTGCTACAACTATACTACTAATATAACAGCAACTGTCAGTAACTCTCACCACTTTCAGATTTGATTGCTAGAGAATAGCCATATGATAAATATCTGCAGAAACACATCTCGCATGATGCACAATTTGGTTTTCGACAAAATCTATCAACAGAGAGTGCAATTTTCTGTCTCAAGCAGACGGTCAAGTACTACTCGACCAGAAGAACCCCTGTGTATGCATGCTTATCGGATTTATCCAAAGCATTCAATTTGGTGTCTATAGGATATTATGGCGAAAGCTGCGAGAAGAGACATACCTGAAATGATTATCACTATGTTTCAATTTTGGTACTCACATCAAACAAATTACGTTAGATGGGGCACAGGTATGTCAGATGAATACGGATTAGATGAATGTGGGGTAAGGCAGGGCGGATTAAGCTCTCCTACCTTATTTAATTTAAAATATATTAATGGGTTGATCGCTGAACTCAACAGCACTGGTATTGGATGTTCAATAGACGGAGTCAATACAAATAACATAACGGACGATATGTTGTTGTTGAGCCCATCGATCAGAGCACTGACACAATTTGTGAAAATTTATGAATCATACGCCAGTACTCATGGGCTTATATACAACGCAAAAAAGAGTGAGCTAATTATTCTTGGGGCAGATGCTAAAAGAGGAGCTAACTTACCGCCTGTGAATTTGTGTGGGTTAGTTATAAAAAGAGTACCTCAGTTGAAGTATCTGGGGCACTGACTCACTGAAAACATGAGCGATGACTGCGATATTGAGAAAGAACGCAGAGCACTGGCAGTACGTTGCAACAAGCTGACTGGCAGCTTCGCTAAGTCCTCTAGACAGGTTAAATAATGCTTTTCGAAGCGTACTGTCAAAATTTTTAATATACGTGTGGCATGTGGGTTGGGTACACGCAGCGGACGTATAGTGCACTGCGCGTTCAATATAACAATACGTTTAGGATTTTGATGGGACTAGCTCGTCACTGTAGTGCATCTACTATGTTCACCTCCGCCGATAGGCTCGTGTCTCCACGTACCAATGACTTTTATGCTATAATGCGATAGAGATGCGCTTCGCTTCTTTTTCCTATTAGAGACTCTTCTAATAGCATTTTAAGCGCCTTAGTCGATAGGTGGGACTCTCCGCGTTTAAGTCACTGGATTCGCTTTCACATGCATAAGAATTAAAATGTAAAATTTAAGTAATGATAATAAATACGTCCTGTGTTGTCGCTAAAACAAGGATATAGTGTCTATAAAAATTAGAGACCCAACTTTAGAATGACAAATTATAATTTCTTTAGTTCTTTGAAATCTGCATTTATTTTCCGTTATAAATTAATTTTGTAAAATTACATTAGAAATGTCAATGTAGATAAATTTTATTACATATTATATCAAAAGTAATGCAGAATATACGTGTTTCTTTCAAAACAAATACAAATAATACTTAATTCTTTTACCCACACAAAGAGGAGATGGTTCATGCGCACCCTGCGTCATGCATTGCATAATTTTCACTGACAACATACGTCGCTGGCAAGTATTGCAGCATAACACGCAGCAGTGCTGGCGACGGTTCAGTGCGCACCCTGCGTTATGCATTGCATAATTTTCACTGACAACATACGTCGCTGGCAAGTATTGCACCAGTCACATGCAGCAGTGCTGGCGACGGTTCAGTGCGCACCCTGCGTTATGCATTGCATAATTTTCACTGACAACATACGTCGCTGGCAAGTATTGCACCAGTCACATGCAGCAGTGCTGGCGACGGTTCAGTGCGCACACTGCGTTATGCATTGCATAATTTTCACGGACAACATACGTCGCTGGCAAGTATTGCACCAGTCACATGCAGCAGTGCTGGCGACGGTTCAGTGCGCACCCTGCGTTATGCATTGCATAATTTTCACGGACAACATACGTCGCTGGCAAGTATTGCACCAGTCACATGCAGCAGTGCTGGCGACGGTTCAGTGCGCTCCCTGCGTTATGCATTGCATAATTTTCACGGACAACATACGTCGCTGGCAAGTATTGCACCAGTCACATGCAGCAGTGCTGGCGACGGTTCAGTGCGCACACTGCGTTATGCATTGCATAATTTTCACGGACAACATACGTCGCTGGCAAGTATTGCACCAGTCACATGCAGCAGTGCTGGCGACTGTTCAGTGCGCTCCCTGCGTTATGAATTGTATAATTTTCACGGACAACATACGTCGCTGGTAAGTATTGCACCAGTCACATGCAGCAGTGCTGGCGACGGTTCAGTGCGCACCCTGCGTTATGCATTGCATAATTTTCACGGACAACATACGTCGCTGGCAAGTATTGCACCAGTCACATGCAGCAGTGCTGGCGACGGTTCAGTGCGCACCCTGCGTTATGCATTGCATAATTTTCACGGACAACATACGTCGCTGGCAAGTATTGCACCAGTCACATGCAGCAGTGCTGGCGACGGTTCAGTGCGCTCCCTGTGTTATGCATTGCATAATTTTCACGGACAACATACGTCGCTGGCAAGTATTGCACCAGTCACATGCAGCAGTGCTGGCGACGGTTCAGTGCGCACCCTGCGTTATGCATTGCATAATTTTCACGGACAACATACGTCGCTGGCAAGTATTGCACCAGTCACATGCAGCAGTGCTGGCGACGGTTCAGTGCGCTCCCTGCGTTATGCATTGTATAATTTTCACGGACAACATACGTCGCTGGCAAGTATTGCACCAGTCACATGCAGCAGTGCTGGCGACGGTTCAGTGCGCACCCTGCGTTATGCATTGCATAATTTTCACGGACAACATACGTCGTTGGCAAGTATTGTACCAGTCATATGCAGCAGTGCTGGCGACGGTTCAATGCGCACCCTCCGTTATGCATTGCATAACTTTTATCAAAGGTTAAAAAAACTTAGTGACCATATAATGAAAACAATTTAACTTACTATATTTATTTGAATTACAATTGAAGTTACAAAATATATTTGGATTACTTATTTGTAGTTCCCTTGTTCTATACGAGTTTAAAGCACATCATGCTGTAATCACGCTATCAACATTCCGAATCATAAGCAGTCTATATAGAACATCTCCGAACTATCACACGGAGTGTTGGCCGCTCCCCAGGCAGAACACCTTGCCCGGCGGGAGATCTCCCCCCTTGTCCTACCACGGACACAGTGGTGACTAACCAACGTGATCTGAACACGCAACTAACTACCTTCGGAAACTTCAAGCTTTCATCATCGTCATAGAATAGCCCATCTATTCGCTCCCGAGCAGATATCGTCTGCAATCTTCATATCCTGCAAGCCATCTAGCTTAACAAGGTACATCGCAGCACTAGAATAATAATGCTTCCTGTTCCTTCAAGCTACTCTCTGCGCTATACAGTGTTCGGCATGGCTCTGAGCCCTACTGCTCGCCTCTGCTTCACGGCACTCTCGCAGATTACTTGCCTTCTTCTCGACTCATCGCAGACTACAAGGCAATCTCCTGTCACTTGCACATTCGTCGGCAACGAGGCTGCAATATCGACCTCCGGGTTGAGCAGGGGGGTGATGTGGCGGCGCTGTCGTCGCGTCGCAAGTGAAACACACCGAAGCCTAAATCACGCTATCAACATTCCGAATCATAAGCAGTTTATATAGAACATCTCCGAACTATCACACGGAGCGTTGGCCACTCCCCGGGCAGAACACCTTGCCCGGCGGGAGAACTTTCCCTTGTTGTCCCTTGTTTATTGCGATGCGACGACAGCGCCGCCACACTGTTATTTATTTACTAATATAACAGTTTATTTCGTTTTTGTTAGCGTTAAAATGATGAAAAGGAGTAATTTGATACCATCTATCTTTCAATCCAATTACAATGTTGGATTTTTCAAGGTAGGAATGAATAGGTTTTTGTTAAATGGCGACAGAGCGCTTTACCATCTTCGGCTAGATCAGCATTTACCATCAGGTGGAAAAAAAATCAATTTTATAAATATCCAAGGAGAACGAAGGTTTCCTTTTGAAGGTTAATCTATATTTATCAGAACCGCATTTTTTTCTATTTCAAATAGATAGATTTGAATATTAGATCTTAATTAGTTTTACAAATGAAATAAATATGAAAAGAAGACGGAGGCACCTTACTCCGATGTGAAAATCGTTATTCTGATATATTTTGTTCATAATTCAGAGTGTACAAAATGCAAAGGACATAGGATGAATAATTCATGGTATTCATTATACTACAACCAAAATTATTATAATAAAAAATATGAATTATCATCCCAGGGGATAGGCCTGACAAGTTAATTTTATTTTCGATAATACAATTAAATATTTATTATTTATTTAGTAACCAATTCCATTTCCAATTACCAATTTCGATTTTCCTTCACAAAACCTACAGTGAGAGCAAATTTTCCAGAAGTGTTATCTTTGCACTATTATGTAGGTATGTGAAAATCCTCGTTAAAAAATTCAAGATTTTTGCATTGTCAAAAATATATATATATCTGTCGCCTCTTACAGCACCTACGTGATGGTCGTAGTTAGCGGATATTCTTACAACACTACATTTCTGCATTTTTTAACCATTATCATTAATCACATCTTCTTAAAGTCCACTGCTGAACATAGGCCTCCCCCACAGATTGCCTTATACGGGGGGATATTTTGCCATAGTTGCCACGCTTAACAAGCAAGGTGGAAACCGCAGTTTTTAATTTTAAGATGTTATTAGGAAGACGCTGCTGCCCATCTTCTGATTGGTTTCGCACTGTCGCCTCGCCCACGGAATGATATTAAGAGGAAGCGGATACTCTTATCCCGCCATTACGTTATTAGGAAGACGCTGCTGCCCATCTTCTGATTGGTTTCGCACTGTCGCCTCGCCCACGGAATGATATTAAGAGGAAGCGGATACTCTTACCCCTCCATTACGTTATTAGGAAGATGCTGCTGCCCATCTGCTGATTGGTTTCGCACTGTCGCCTCGCCCACGGAATGATATTAAGAGGAAGCGGATACTCTTACCCCTCCATTACGTTATTAGGAAGATGCTGCTGCCCATCTGCTGATTGGTTTCGCACTGTCGCCTCGCCCACGGAATGATATTAAGAGGAAGCGGAAACTCTTACCCCTCCATTACGTTATTAGGAAGATGCTGCTGCCCATCTGCTGATTGGTTTCGCACTGTCGCCTCGCTCACGGAATGATATTAAGAGGAAGCGGATACTCTTACCACGCCATTACGTTATTAGGAAGACGCTGCTGCCCATCTGCTGATTGGTTTCACACTGTCACCTCGCCCACGGAATGATATTAAGAGGAAGCGGATACTCTTACTCTTACCCCGCCATTACGTTATTAGGAAAACGCTGCTGCCCATCTGCTGATTGGTTTCACACTGTCGCCTCGCCCACGGAATGATATTAAGAGGAAGCGGATACTCTTACTCTTACCCCGCCATTACGTTATTAGGAAGACGCTGCTGCCCATCTGCTGATTGGTTTCGCACTGTCGCCTCGCTCACGGAATGATATTAAGAGGAAGCGGAACTACTCTTACCCCGCCATTACGTTATTAGGAAGATGCTGCTGCCCATCTGCTGATTGGTTTCACACTGTCGCCTCGCCCACGGAATGATATTAAGAGGAAGCGGATACTCTTACTCTTACCCCGCCATTACGTTATTAGGAAGACGCTGCTGCCCATCTGCTGATTGGTTTCGCACTGTCGCCTCGCTCACGGAATGATATTAAGAGGAAGCGGATACTCTTACCCCGCCATTACGTTATTAGGAAGACGCTGCTGCCCATCTGCTGATTGGTTTCGCACTGTCGCCTCGCCCACGGAATGATATTAAGAGGAAGCGGATACTCTTACCCCGCCATTACGTTATTAGGAAGACGCTGCTGCCCATCTGCTGATTGGTTTCGCACTGTCGCCTCGCCCACGGAATGATATTAAGAGGAAGCGGATACTCTTATCCCGCCATTACGTTATTAGGAAGATGCTGCTGCCCATCTTCTGATTGGTTTCGCACTGTCGCCTTGACACGGAATGATATTAAGAGGAAGCGGAATACTCTTACCCCTCCATTACGTTATTAGGAAGACGCTGCTACCCATCTGCTGATTGGTTTCGCACTGTCGCCTCGCTCACGGAATGATATTAAGAGGAAGCGGATACTCTTACCCCCGCCATTACGTTATTAGGAAGACGCTGCTGCCCATCTGCTGATTGGTTTCACAGTATCGCCTCGCCCATGGAATGATATTAAGAGGAAGCGGATACTCTTACTCTTACCCCGCCATTACGTTATTAGGAAGACGCTGCTGCCCATCTGCTGATTGGTTTCACACTGTCGCCTCGCCCACGGAATGATATTAAGAGGAAGCGGATACTCTTACTCTTACCCCGCCATTACGTTATTAGGAAGACGCTGCTGCCCATCTGCTGATTGGTTTCACACTGTCGCCTCGCCCATGGAATGATATTAAGAGGAAGCGGATACTCTTGCTCTTACCCCGCCATTACTTTATTAGGAAGACGCTGCTGCCCATCTGCTGATTGGTTTCGCACTGTCGCCTCGCTCACGGAATGATATTAAGAGGAAGCGGATACTCTTACCCCGCCATTACGTTATTAGGAAGACGCTGCTGCCCATCTGCTGATTGGTTTCACACTGTCGCCTCGCCCACGGAATGATATTAAGAGGAAGCGGATACTCTTACCCCGCCATTACGTTATTAGGAAGACGCTGCTGCCCATCTGCTGATTGGTTTCGCACTGTCGCCTCGCTCACGGAATGATATTAAGAGGAAGCGGATACTCTTACCCCGCCATTACGTTATTAGGAAGACGCTGCTGCCCATCTGCTGATTGGTTTTACACTGTCGCCTCGTTCACGGAATGATATTAAGAGGAAGCGGATACTCTTACTCTTACCTCGCCATTACGTTATTAGGAAGACGCTGCTGCCCATCTGCTGATTGGTTTCGCACTGACGCCTCGCCCACGGAATGATATTAAGAGGAAGCGGATACACTTACCCCGCCATTACGTTATTAGGAAGACGCTGCTGCCCATCTGCTGATTGGTTTCACACTGTCGCCTCGCTCACGGAATGATATTAAGAGGAAGCGGATACTCTTACTCTTACCCCGCCATTACGTTATTAGGAAGACGCTGCTGCCCATCTGCTGATTGGTTTCACACTGTCGCCTCGCTCACGGAATGATATTAAGAGGAAGCGGATACTCTTACTCTTACCTCGCCATTACGTTATTAGGAAGACGCTGCTGCCCATCTGCTGATTGGTTTCGCACTGTCGCCTCGCCCACGGAATGATATTAAGAGGAAGCGGATACTCTTACCTCGCCATTACGTTATTAGGAAGACGCTGCTGCCCATCTGCTGATTGGTTTCACACTGTCGCCTCGCCCACGGAATGATATTAAGAGGAAGCGGATACTCTTACTCTTACCCCGCCATTACGTTATTAGGAAGACGCTGCTGCCCATCTGCTGATTGGTTTCACACTGTCGCCTCGTTCACGGAATGATATTAAGAGAAAGCGGATACTCTTACTCTTACCTCGCCATTACGTTATTAGGAAGACGCTGCTGCCCATCTGCAGATTGGTTTTGCACTGTCGCCTCGCCCACGAAATGATATTAAGAGGAAGCGGATACTCTTACTCCTACCTCGCCATTACGTTATTAGGAAGACGTTGCTGCCCATCTGCTGATTGGTTTCGCACTGTCGCCTCGCCCACGGAATGATATTAAGAGGAAGCGGATACTCTTACCCCGCCATTACGTTGTTAGGAAGACGCTGCTGCCCATCTGCTGATTGGTTTCGCACTGTCGCCTCGCTCACGGAATGATATTAAGAGGAAGCGGATACTCTTACTCTTACCCCGCCATTACGTTATTAGGAAGA